CAGATTTTTTTATCAAGTTTTCCGGAGCTTCCATTTTTTTAATATTCCTGCCTTTTTTGATGGAAGCTACTTTCATATTTTAATTTTTTTTTCCCCAAACTTCAAAGGTTTCTGTTATCAAGTTTTTTCTAATTTTATATGATTTTAATGTTTTTGTATCCAGAGGCTGGAGCCAGAGAAGAAAAAGATAGTATATGGAGGACGGCGCAGGAAGAGGTTTGGAATGCCAGAAGATTATGGATGGGAAGGTGAATAATGAGAATGGTTCAGAGAAGCCAATCCCTTCTTGTTGCTTGAAGGCTAGGGCTTCTCTCCCTGAACTTGAAGCCAGATGCCATTCCACTGTTGTCTCTGGATGGTTCTCAGTATCTCAGTCTTGCACTGGTCATTATCAAATTCTTCTTTCTCTCTCTCTCTCTCTGTCTTGTTGTTTGTTTTTTTGTTGATGGTATTCATCATTTAAGTCCACACAGTTCTTGAATTTAATTGACACTATCGCTGAATTGATCCCTTCTTTATGCGCACTTCTCTACTGCAGATAAAGCTAACAAAAGCATTTACTTCAACAACCCTATGTGGCCTGGTAAGCTTGTTCTGACTTAAATATTTTCTGCTATGCACATCTTTTCTCTCCAAAATTTGATATTATCACATTTTCATTAGTGAACTTAAAGTCATATCTATTATCTGCAAAATCAAAGTCCTTATCATTTTTCTAACAATTGTGGCCTCAGTCATTTCTGTGCCTCTTTTTATTAGAGTGAAATTGAATTGTTAACCTCTTAAGAGTATGAGGAAGGAGCTGTCCTGCCTCTGAAAGTACCTGTGGTAACCCTTTTATGCTAGAGTATTTTCCTTGTTGGATTTCATTGCTTGCTTTTTTGTTTTAATCAGCTGATCTTCCTCTAATTTGTTTAAATATGACTGCAGGTGAAGCACATTCACTGAAGGTTGAGAAAGTTTTACACAAGGAGAAGTCAGATTACCAAGAGATCCTAGTTTTTGAGGTTTGACATCCCCAATGTCGCGCATATTTTCTGTTTTCTTGTCAACCTATCTACAGAGTGTTTTCATGTGCATTAATTAAACTCACGCACTTATATGAGATTTAGATGATGTTTCCTCTTGTGTTCAGTCAGCAACATATGGAAAAGTGCTCGTTCTTGATGGCATTGTACAGTTAA